GGGCAGGGGATGGAACCTGGCACGTAATTAGGTCCACAGCGGGCAGTTTGGTGGCCAGATTAGATGGTTCGCCTGGTGGCAAACCAAAGTGGATCCTTTCCCTGCCTCGTAACGGGGCTCTGCCTCCTGTCCACACGCTGACCTTGTCCGTGGACTGGCCAGGACATCCCGGGGCTTTTCGGGAATTACCAGTGATTCTGAACAGGCTGAGGGGGGAGTCATGACGCCGGGATTCTGCTGTTTGTGTGTGTGTGTGTGTGTGTGTGTGTGTGTGTGTGTGTGTGGAGGGTCCGTTGGTGGTATGCCACACGCTGCTGTGCACTTTGGCTTCACTGACAGAGAAACAGGCTGACCTCATTTCCAGTTAAGAAGTGCGTTTTTCTTTTCTTTTTCTTTCTTTTTTTTTGGCCTGATATTTGCAGAAATTTTGACAAGAGATGTAAGGAAGAGATACAAGAGGGAGGTTTTGGCCCGCAGTTACATCTGATTTGAATATGCTGTTCAGGAAATGAGACAGAGGCTCACTTAGATCAATGCACATAAGACATACAGGAGCAGCTGCATGTGAGCAAAGGCTGTAATTATGCACGCTGTGTTACGTTTATTCCAATGAGGGTTTCACCCAAAGTTCACCCTGAGACTCGAGGGAGGATTTGTGAGTATGAGCCACAAAACAAAAGGAGGAATACACTATATGCAACCACCCATTAGAATGGAAAGTGGGTGTAAGAAATTATTTGAAGTTCTGGTGTTGTGTTGCCCTCTATTGACAAGGATTTAAGATGCATGCATTCTTTTTTTTATTAGTATGATATCAAGCATAAAGAGCTGTTATTCTAATGTTATGTCATTCTCAACAGGTTTTTCATTTCAGTTTACAACTTCTTCTGAGAGCCTTTATTTCTTTTACCGTGGGGTTGCAACTTATGTCAAAGAGGGTGGATTGATGCATGATTTTTATCCTCATTAGATGTCAGGCGTCAAGAGTTGTGGTCGGTTTTGGCAGCTAGAGTAATGTTTAAACAAGCTAAGGCATATTAAACTTTCCCAGTGGGCTATTAGATCTGTCAGATGTGGTTGGCTTCTGGCCGAGGTAGCTACTTACAGTGACAAAGGAGCAATAACTGGTAGTTAGCCAACTTTATTGGATAGCTTTAGATTAATAAAGACAACACCCAGAAGTTCATGTATTCTAATTGTCTTGTTCTAGCCTTGCAAGTAGACACAGTGGATTTTGTTCTAATCTAAGAAGTTCAAATGATGTTTATTATGATATTCATGATAAATATTAAGGAACACCCATGATGTAAAACTCCACTATCATTTGTCTTGGTGGTGCTCATCTAAAACTGTTAATTTGGCTTCTATGAGCAATGGATGCAGTATTTGCTGAGGCTGTTTTATCATAGTCAGAAGAGCACCTCCCTAATGATAATCGAGCCCATACAGAGCACTCAGGCTGAAGGCAAGAGGGGGAACAAATGGGTGAATAAAGCAGGAGAGCAGCCAGCAAATGCAGGGATTCCCTGACTCCGCTCCATGCAGGCTGCGCGGCTCATCCAGCAGAGCAGAAAGACACCCTGGGGAGCGCAGTCACACTATAATGGTCTGCGTCGCCGAGATGTGGCAAGAGAGCGGAAAAGTGCCTATGTGTGCACATTTGAGCGTGCACATGAATTCACACCGACACATATTACGGTGGCAGACATTTCAGGCTGCAGCTGATGTGTCATACTCATGCCGTGTCCTATTCTGGATATCCATACCTGGTCAAAATTACACACATCTGTAGATATATATATATTACATTATAGTATATATACACATTTATATATAGATATTTCCAAAAAATGTGTTGTTAAAACCAAATTAGCATATAAGCGGGGCTTTTTAACTACATAGCTTAAGAAGATGATAGTATATGCTTCCGCTCGGTCATGCTTGATTTGTGTTTGATAGTACACTCCAGATGTGAGATCTAAGATGCAATATCTTTTATGAGTACTCAAAGCTTTTGCACGATGATAAAGAGTAAAAAAAGATTTGTGGAATTTATGCGTTATGGATTGCTTCAGTTGATTTTGGAGTTGATGTTTCTCTCCGGGTTCTTGGGTTTCCTGCTACCATGCAAACACGTGCATGCTAGGTTCACCGGTGACTAAATAGTCTTTGGAAGTGAGTTTGAATGTGCATGGTTGTGTATCTTGTTCGTCTCTTTGTGGCCCTGTGTGAACTGTCCACCTGTCCGTGGTGTAACTGAGTGACAGCTGAGATAAACTCAGCTCCCCAATGACCTTGAATCACAATAAGCAGGTTTAGAAAATGGGTAGATGGATGGATGGAGTCTTAAGTTCTGAGTCTATGTTTGTTGAGGTATGAATTCTATGAAAGGACACCAGTTGCCTTTAATGGGTTTAGTTTTTTAACAGATTGACTCAACAATTCGTCTTAATGCCTATACCCAGACAATAAAGCCGAAACATTGGGCTGTGTAACCCTGCATTCACTCAGCATCGTTAGGATGAAAAATATCCTTTCAATAAGTTCAATTTTCTATCTGTTTCAGATTTTTTCAGACAGCCTGCAACAATGATTTAATAACAATAAATCTTGTGTCCATTGTTCCTTATATTCTAACCAACAGCGAGCTGAGATGCAAATTGTCTGCATAAGTACTCTGATTTGATCTCATCACTGCATGGATACATGTGGATTAATTCCACTGATAGACTGAGTGTCTTATAAGGATCATTGGTGCTAGTGCAGGATATAGCTTTTGAGCTCTGGCGTACATTTTTTTAGGGTGGGGGTTTCCTTCCATCCCACAAAAAGATGCTGTTTTTACCCATATCTGCACAATCTAAGCTCCACGAAGGCTGAATTCCCTTTGGCTGTGTGTGATACATCACCCCCTTATTCGATCTGAGCAGCTGTAAGGCAATCAGGGGGAAATCTGTCAACAAAACAAGCTGGTACACTTTGGAATAGGGGGGACCTTAAAAGCAGAAATGTAATTTGAGAGAAATGGTTCAGCTGAGTAATAGATTTCTGGGATCCTTGCCTGTGTTTTGCACTCCCTCAGCCTCCAGTGAGAGAACAGGTGCCTTTGTGGGCGCTGCGCAGCTGATGTTAAACCGAACCTCTGCGGGATGCGATGGGATGATGAGACACTCCAGACCAAACATAGATCATGGATCAACAAGCATCCAAAAACAGCCATCCCTGTCTAAAAATCCAACCTAAAGTTGGCATTTCACTGCATCCTGAATGCTGACCAGGATGTGCCTTGTGGAAAAGTCAACACGCCACAGGGCACAAACAAAGGACTTTAATCATATTCACTGATGGCAGATGAGTGTGCATGTTGGCAATTATGATATGTTTAATCAATGAATATATTTGAAAAGATGAAGGCCAGCTGTAGTGACATCTTAGTGTGTGAGGAACGCTGGGTTATGCAATAATGCATAAATGCATTATGCATAAATGGTGCAATATACCTGACCGGTGAATTAGACTACAGTTGTGATACTTAATGTCTGTGAACAAAAAACTAAATATGTTGAAGATTAAATACAAAATTGAGTATGTATTTTATT